TAATGACCTTTATCACAATATGCTAATTTTTTGAGAAGGACCTGTACAAGTTTTGAGTCCTACCAAAATTGATCACCCACTAACATCGTTAAACATACCCCTAAACATGCCGCTAACCATACCACTAAACATGGCACTAAACATACCCATAAACATGCTACTAAACATGCCTCTAAACATGCCACTAAACACGCCCCTAAACATGCCGCTAATCATGCCCCTAAACATGCTGCTAAACATGCCACTAAACATGCTGCTAAACATGCCACTATGCATGCCCCTAAACATGCTTCTAAACATGCTACTAAACATGCTGCTAAACATGCTACTAAACATGCTTCTAAACATGCTACTAAACATACCCCTAAACATGCTACTAAACATGCTTCTAAACATGCTACTAAACATGCCCCTAAACATGCCACTAAACATACCCCTAAATATGCCGCTAAACATACCACTAAACATGCTACTAAACATGCCACTAAACATGCCACTAAACATACCCCTAAACATGCCGCTAAACATACCACTAAACATGCTGCTAAACATGCTGCTAAACATACCCCTAAACATGCTACTAAACATGCTTCTAAACATGCTACTAAACATGCCCCTAAACATGCCACTAAACATACCCCTAAACATGCCGCTAAACATACCACTAAACATGCTACTAAACATGCCACTAAACATGCCCCTAAATATGCTCCTAAACATGCTTCTAAACATGTTACTAAACATGCCCCTAAACATGCCACTAAACATACCCCTAAACATACCACTAAACATGCTACTAAACATGCTACTAAACATGCCTCTAAACATGCCACTAAACACGCCCCTAAACATCAACCTTTATTTATACAGGTAAATCCCATTGAGCCTCAAGGACTCATTTACAAGAGAGACCTGAAATGCTGCTAACATGCCACTAAACATACCACTACACATGCTGCTAAACATGCCACTATGCATGCCCCTAAACATGCTTCTAAACATGCTACTAAACATGCTGCTAAACATGCTACTAAACATACTTCTAAACATGCTGCTAAACATGCTGCTAAACATGCCCCTAAACATGCCACTAAACATGCCCCTAAACATGCCACTAAGCATGCTGCTAAACATGCCACTATGCATACCCCTAAACATGTCACTAAACATGCCCCTAAACATGCTACTAAACATACCATTAAACATGCCCCTAAACATGCCACTACACATGCCGCTAAACATGCCCCTAAACATGCTGCTAAACATGCCACTAAATATGTCTCTAAACATGCTGCTAAACATGCCCCTTAA